AAAGGTGTACCACATATCCTTTTATTTTCACTAGTGACGGTTAGAAAAATTAGAAAAATTCAAGAGATCGTATCTGCTTTTAAATATATGTTAATCGTGTACCGAATATTATTGAAAAATTATAGATTTTTAAAAATTTTACTACTCCTTTCTCAAAAGGATGTAAGACATAATGTTATGAAGTTTTATTAATACATTCGGTCCACAATTCACTGCCTTTAATATTGACATTGGAATTGGTGAAATGAATTAGTCATTTTAGTTTCGTATTTTTAGGTTTCGGTTTTTATTTTTCTGCAGTTTCTAAGTGGAAAATTTTCCGAATGCAACGAAAATGTAACTTGGAAGGTTTTCTTCTAACCACGCGATGATTAACGATGTAGTGACAGCACCGCATTGCTGCTCGAGTTGCGGCAAATACGTGAAGAAAACTTCTCCGTTATTCATTAACTCTATGAGTAAAAAAAACCACAAAAGATCCATAGCAAGGCAGATGTATGGGAATAAAACACCTAAACAAATGACCTCAGGGAAACAATACCTTTATAGATATTACAGCACATGAAACTCAAATATAAAGTAATAATTAAGTTGTTCCACTCAGACAGGCAGTAAAAGTTAATTGTGGCATTACCCAAGCTAATAATTTAGATTGAAGAATATTCTTCTCTCTTTTACGTAATGTAATAGTAGAACGCGGTTGATAATCGATGTTTTGAATTTTTGCTTATGCCGTTTAACATTGGTACCTGAGCGTTCTATTTATTTAAAAGAAACAATAATTATAAATAATTCAGAAGTTATTACTTTCTTAGTATTTTCGGGATAGATAAATGTGTGTGACGAGTAATATAGTCTTTCCCAACTTAACTTCTAAGACTTCTCCATTTTAAGGTACGGCTCAGAAAATAAGCCAACGCAAAATTCGGTTTGCTTCTTTTTTGTTGTAGTTATAGTTTATAGCCGTTCAAAATTTAAAACGTTATTCAAACTTGCTGTTCTTCCTTCGTAACTTGGTCTTTACTTAGATTTCAAACGGCAGATTTTCTCACAAAATCTTTATAGGGTCCGGAACGCTTTTCTAAACCACAACGTAATTATCTTCTCAGGTAAATTCTTTGAAAATTAACAGTAAGCGTATCTGTTAACAGATACGATATTCCCAGGTTATTTTGTTACTCTTTATGCGTTGCCAATGACGCATAAAGATGCTTAAAGTCCGTTCTTGCGTGGTCGCATTTTCGTTATTACCTGCCTCGAAGTCGAACTAGAAGCAAATAACTTTTTTCCATGCGATAACACTCGATATCGAATCGGAACCCGCGTTTATGTTTCAGTAAATCGTAACCCATTTCCCCGCTCATTAGGCAGTCCATGGACGACGAGTATAGCTGGTCAAAAATAATGAATGTTCGTAACGGCTCTTAAAAGGTTAGGCAAGACGCGGATAATAAAACAACCATAAACATCAATCAGTCGAATTTATTTATTTATTTTTTTAAAACCGGTTTCGGCGGCAAACTATTGCGTTCACCGAATTGTATCCCTGACGAAGATGGCGCGCGCTTTTTATGTACAATAAAATAAATTTTACAATATCGCTTTTTATTAATATTCTCCTCCAATACGAAATTTGTACAAATTTACAGGAAAACTTTTAAATTCACAATATTAAAAATCTCTTTCGCATTCGTCCAGGTAGCTCGACGCCCTGCTTTTTTCTTTAATTGCACGAAGGAACGCTCAAATATATTAATAAAACATATAACTATTCACAGTCATTTCGCCTGGCGGTGATTTGTTCCGTTTTCTTTAACGTTTCCTTCAAAATGTACAAAATTTTGGGATGAAACACATGACACACGCAAACTCCAGAATCACCGGAGCACATAATCTCTGTAATGTCATTATTCACCAACCCTAGTTACGTTTCACTATCGAATAATGCACGACGGTGCAAGAGGAGGAATTAAGTGCCTAAGATCACACTAGAATAAAATGTCTAAATACAGATTGAAGAGTAGTAGCGGTTTTTTCCAATATCCAATACTTCGAATGTCCGACAAAGAATGTCCACCAGATGTGGAAGAATCTAAAACAATTGTTGATGGAAATGATAAATAGACAATTGTAAAGTTTACGTCACCAAAAATTTAAAGTGAAGTTGTTTAAAGTTATTTAATATATAAGGTACAAGAAGAACATTCAATTTAATAAAATACTGGTTTTAGTATTTTAGGAAGGTATTTTAAAAGTTGTGTAGATCATATAATATAACAATGAATAAAGAAAGAAAATATATTAAATTAATGACTTAGCAGCTGGGTAAAGCCTGCAATGTTCGAAACCAAACTGAACAGGTTCAATTGTCACCAATATATTATTTTTTCTTACTTTTTGTATGAGAATTAGCGAAATCTCAAAAATTAAAAATTATTAGTGTAATAATGGACTAATACGCTATATTAGCGTGACATTTTTGTGAGGGCTGTCAACGTTGGTATGGTCGTTTATAGAATTGTTACAGTAGTTTCAGTTTTTATGTGCTTTTTAATTATTAGAAATTATTTAACAGAGTTCGTGATCATTTATCAGTAATAATGTACTATTCAATTATTGTTTTGTAAGAATTGGAAATCCAAAAGATAACCTATAAATATCAATAGCGGCAACAGGTTTTAAGCACATTAAACATCTAAACTTATTATTTGAGGGCACCATAACTAGGAATATTACTATCCCATATTTACATTTGGTCTTAATGAAGATGGTATACTACAGTAATTGTTTATAGGTTATATTTTAATTTTTAGTAAAATACTCTAACTCGTTGCTTCATTTCTGATTTTGAAACTTATAATGCCCGAATTGAATAGCACTCCCCATTAAATAGTCTCTAATTATTAAAAAATATAGAAAAACTAAACTCATATGTCAAATCGGTCTGTTTGGCCGAATCGACGTTATTAATTAGTTAGTTAAAATGTTTGCATCGTTTGAGAGCTAGGAATACAAGAAAAAATAATTGCTAGTTTGACCACTGCAAATTGAACAACAAATTATCAGATTTTTAAACGACTTTACTTAATTACAAACATAAGGCTAAAAACCTTTATTTTCGGCAATAAGGACATATATTTTTTTAATTTGTCGTCATTAAATTGAAACGTTTCTTGTTTTTTTCATATTCAAGATATAATAATAATCATTAATATATACAATGAAACCTCTCAATACGAACACTAGGCGGACACTCCTCTTTAAACGGACATGTTTTTTGGAACGACATATTTGCCTTCTCATTTACCTGTAAAACAAACTCTTGATACTACCCTGACTTTAAAAAAAAATTACCTCTCTTAAACGGACATGAACCTCCAATAACAGAACAACGCAATGCTAAAATATCGGGAATTACCTTTTTCCTAATCCTATAGGGGAATTACCTTTTTCATTTTTCATATCATATCGTATTATTCATTACGCCGTGACTTGCAGTTTTATTTTGCAAGCAAATGCCGTAAGTGGATTCCACAATTTTTAAAGTGGCACCTAGTAAAAAAATTGTTAACGTTTCGGTAAAGGAAAATTTGTCAATGCGCAAGCCTGCAGAAAAATTTAAAATGGGGAAAACTCAAGCGGCGGAAATTGTGAAAAATAAGGACAGCATTCGTGTACAGTGGGAGTCGGGATCGAACAAGAAATTTTGTAAAAACTGAGGGACTTCAAATTGACAAAGTGTGTTTTGATTGGTTTTCTCTGTTGCGAAGTCAAAACATTCCAATATCGACACACTTAGAAAAGGCCAAGACTCAAGAAATAGCTGAAAAACATAATGTTCGAAATTTCAAGGCTACCGATGGATGGCTGTAAAAGTGGCTCACAAGTTTTAATTGTATCTCCGAAGAATCAGCAAATGTTAGTCAAAAAGACGCAAATCAGTTTAAAGATAACTTGCCCACACTACTCCTCGGATATCAGCCAAACGATGTTTACAAGGACGATGAGACTGGCCTTTTCTTTCGAGTCTTACCTAACAAAACACTTTGAAATCCGAAAAATATAGTGGTGGAAAGCTATCCAACGAGAGGCTCATAATTTTATTTTGTGCTAATATGGCAGGACAAAAAGAAGATTTGCTCGTGATTAAATATATTGCAAATAAAAATTTACCTGGAATATGGAAATTTAACAAGAAAGCATTGATGACACAAGACATTATGAATTAATGGTTGTTACAATTTGATAGAAAAATGGCCCTAAAAAAGCGAAAAATTTTATTACTCTTGGATAACGCAGCATCGCACCCCCGTGAGGTAAAAGTACAAAACATAAAAATGATCTTCTTGCCTCCAAATACGACATCAGTATGTCAACCTCTAGATCACGGTATCATATAGAATGTTAAATTCTGTTATCGTGGACTCATACTGAAGCAAATTTTATTAAAGATGGATGGAATGTTTTAGAAGCACTGTATTTTATTAAGTTAGTCTGGAATAATGTTTCGTCAGAAACAATGCGTCGGACTCTAAAATACTAGAAGTTTGTAAATAAATAATTAAAGTTCATTCACCTACATTTTTTCTATAGTTTTTTGTATGTTTTTAAAGAAAATAAACGTAATACATATTAACCATTTATGTTGTTTTTTTTCATGCACCTCTAATGAGCGGACATCTCTAATGAGCGGACAAAACTAGAGGAACCGTGAGTGACCGGTTATGAGAGTTTTCACTGCAACATATTACTACAAAGATACAACCAATAGTCTTCGGTAGGAAGTTAATGTGGTTTCGGCTATTATTAGCTTAAATCGACACTTTTATCATACTTTAATTCAAGGTGTTGCCAAAATAAATATTATTAACTTCTTTAGAAGTGCTTGGAAACGTGTCGAAACAAAACTCCGCCAATATCTAACGATTATATATACAAAATCGAAATCCGTACAAAAAAATATACACAACCAGAAAAAAACAAACGAAAACAATCTATAGTCAATACGCAGTCGCCGCTCCTGTATGGTGTAAACCACTGAAGGGTCCACCCAAACTACCCAGATGATCTCCAGGTGGTTGAGCCGGCTGGCACCCCGTGTACCAATCGCTGATCGTCGTCGTACCGGGTACCTGGAGGCCGGCGTTGACGTGGGGCGACACAGCTACGGAGATGCTTCCCGTCGACGAACTGTTCGACTCTTCTCCGTCGCTGTCGTAGTGTGGTGGTGACCTCCCGGACATGCCGTGCACTTTCATGTGCTTCCGGAGGGACGAGGGATGCGTGTAAGATTTGTCACAGCCCGCCACCCTACAGTTGTAGGGTTTGTCGCTGGTATGGACGTGGGAGTGCTTTTTGCGGTCCGACGAGTTGGCGAATCGCCTATCACAGCCTTCGAATTCACATTTGAACGGTTTCTCGCCTGAAAATAAGAGCATTATATTAAAATTTGTTTATTTTGCCCGTTGACTTCCTTCCACAAAATTGATAAAAACTCACAAACAGTAACCAAGCGAGGAAACGTAAACCATTTTCTTATGAGCGGTGAAAAATACGAGTTTTAATTGGTTCGAATTGTCAAAATAATAGGTGTAACTGTGAGTATAAAAAGCATAACCGCTTACTAACAATATTCAACAAAAAATATTCCTTCTTTGTAGTTCCTGAAGCCAACATGAGTAAAGAGCTGACCCGATCTTTCGCCAGTTGCCACTTGTCGGAAAATCGCAATTCCGCACTAAATTTTAGTGCAGAATATCATTAAAGAAACTATTAGAATTCGGAGCCGATATTATTAATCTCAAACGTCTTTTAATGTCAACTACAGCGACCGAAGGTTATCTGGACGAATAGTTAGTAAGGTATTCAAAATACTGACCTTCTGGTTTTGTCATCCTAGCTGCAAGGTCACCCTACAAGGCAGAAGGGCTGAAGATCATGTAAAGAAAAGGAAGGCAGCAATTGAAGTGGTACTTCCCGCAAAAAAAGAGGAAAGTATTTTTTAATTAGAAGAAAACTGTTATGGCAAACCTTGAAGAAGAAAATTTTTGATCTTCAGAAGAAAATGTTTAGTAAGGGTTGTGTAGTACCAAAAATGTACCAAGCGAAGAGGATTTGTTGAGTTTGAGAAGAAACTTACTTTGGAGAAATAGCAGATAGAATATTTACCGAATATTGGATTTGAACAAAATACAACACAAAGTAATCCGTTTGCTATGGTGAATTTAAATATAAATCGTTTTTTTGAAATATACCGAGGATAGATATAGCAAAAAAATTAAATATTATTATCCTGCGCTTAGCCACCGTATCAGTGTATATTATTTTGTATTCAAAACCGACTGCACCTATCTGAATTTAAGAAAAAGAGATAAACTTCAAGCCCACACTATTTAATTCGCAAATTGTTTGTGGGTCGCCCTGTTTTGCTCTCGCCTCTTTATTAGGTTTTATTATTTATTATTTTGCAATATGTTTCAGAATTTAGTAAAAATGATTTTAATGGCCTATTTGTCATCATAATAACTAACTAAATGCCTTTGTTAATTATTTAACTTCGCAAAAACGTTAGCTGCTGTTTTTTTTTATATAACTTCATATTCAGGAAAATATTTTTTATTGTTTACTTAAAAAGTTGAAAAATGATTTCTATAAAAATCATCAGGCCTTATTTTCATGCCTTATTTATTATAATTGTAATAAAATTATTTATTCCAGGTTTTTCACTAAAATTTTTTTAAAAAATTTGGGCACACGTTTATGTGAAAAACAAACTTATTTTCCACTGATAAATACGCCCCCAAAATCATTGTATTAAATTTTGAAATACCCGGTATATTTTTCCTTTTTTCAATAAACAATTTATGCCTATGCCTATTTTATTTAATTAATTTTCCTTTTTGCTAAGTTACACGTGTATAAAATAAGATGCTCCGTAGTCGAGAGCCACTTTGCAAACCACGGCGCAAAAAAAATCCTCGTCCGACGATCCATCATCAGCGTTCCGTGTGTGCTTTGGCAGAATAACCTCATTATTCTCGATTCCCATGCGCATTTCACCTATTGTGCTCTCGGACAAGAGGCCATTTGTCAAGTAACCATTATTGAAGCTTTATGTCTTTTTTGTTGTACGCTGCTGGGAATATTTTACAAATTGATTGTTTTTAATGGCTCGCCGTTTGAGGGTAGGTAAAAGTTTCGGCCGCTCGGGAATCCGTCCCGGATATAATTTCCGAAAAAAAAAAAAAAAAATTTAACGAGTATTAAGACGATAAATACGTCTGATTCGCTGACGCTTTAGCATCGGTTTCAATACGGAGTTGTATAGGATAATGTGAGAGATAGTATCGCCACCAAACTCAGTGTACTCACAACAAAGCCTCGAGAGATTTATCCTCAGATTTGACTTTAGATAATCTGGCTTTTGTTCGCTCGGAACGTGTAACTGCGTGCCCGGGCCAAATCGGTCCTGATCAGATTAATAGAGATATAAATCTAGATCTTGTAAAAGAATTTAGTCTCAGCCGAGGGATGCAAAGGTGTGCTGTAATGGTGTCGACCGGCACCTCCAAATGGTTGCGTATCATTGTGGTCCACGAGGTACTGAATTTATTTGGGACGATTAGCAAACGAGCTATCCTCAATGCTTTTAAATAAATTCTGCCAGGAATTTAAAATCAGTTCGTCTTTGTAAATTTCTGGTGTGTGCTATCGAGTTGGTAATCCTAAGCAATGTCAGAAGACAAAATGTAGCATCGAATTTTTCGACAACTATGAAATTCAATTTAGGGGTAAGCACGGGGGCAAGGGATATGTTGAAAGGAAGGAGAAACCACTACGGTACATTATATACAAATAAGACCAGTTAATTTTAGTTAGCTGTCTAAAAGCTGGTAACTAACATAGGCTAAGCCCTTATTGGGGATAAAATGTTACATGAAAATGTAAACCGCGTAAACGGAATCTTGTAGATACAATGATATCTTAAGACAGTAAGAAATTGTGAGAATGATGATAAAAGAACATTTTTATGGTATTTACTATTCATCATTTGAGTTACATTTATCCTCCTTTTTGAGGTTAGAAGCCAAGGCTTTTAATGATAGTTATTGAATGCATTAGGTATTTAAGTCTTGTCTGTGTTGTTTTGTTTTTCGACAATTTCTGCTTTATGAAAGACTGTAATCCAACCACAGAAGCACGGAGTAAATACTATTTTACATATTATTGCCAAAGACACTCGTTTACTGGAATGTGACGTCATCGTAACTTTAGCCTATCGACTTTAGTGGGAGTTTATTTTTAGTCGGATTAATGTAAACGACTCGTAAAACCCTTAATATTTGCTTTCCTCGCCAAAAATAGTGGTAGGTTGATTCGAACGCATCAAGAACGGCGGGTTTAAAGTCTGCGACGTTTTGACAAGCGGAGATACAACAATAAAATTACCATCAGTCCGTGTTTAGTCGGCGCAGACAAATCGTGGCAAGGCTGGATTAATCACGTCGGACCGAGTAGCGTTCGTTTGTTTTGTTTGGCGTTCGTGCCGGGAGATTTCGTTTTGCTTTCGACCAAAATGAAAGCGGGCGCTAGTCATATTGCGAAGTTACAAGTACCGTCTTGTTGCCGCGTAATAATGGTTGCTTTTATTGGTCTCGTTTCATCCAAGGCTATTTAGGATATAGGTGTTACCATCCCGTACTTATACTGCTTAGAAAGTCACTATTTTTCTATTTTTAACCAAAACGACTGATCGCCAGAATTGACAAATATCAAAATACCATTACCGAAACCATACGAATGCTCCCGAACCTGTGACTAAATTATTGGAAACATCCGAAGTTACTCGCAGCTTTTGGTAACGAAGCTGACATCTTAAAGGGATATTTTTCATATAACTGGGTACTTTAGCGGCAAGAGTTACAAAAAATAAAAGCATTAAGTTTGCTTTTTTTCAGTGAATCGATCTCAGACTGTCAGATTGCAGCTTTTAAAGTATGGCCACCAGTGGCGATTACTTAAGATTTATCTGAGTCGAGGGTTAATCTACATCTTAAGCAACTCTTAACGAGTAAGCACGCAGAAACACGTTTTAAACGTAAGAACAACTTACTATGCCTCAATCTAAGAGTTCTTGACCATCAGACATATTGAAATCAGATCAGAAGAAGGCAGGTAGCGTTGGTTGGTAATGTTGGGCTTCGTGAGTATGTATAACTTGATCTGATGATTGATCCAAATAACAGAGTTTATGAAAATATCTCGAAATAAGTGACCCATAGTGATCTGTGTAGCAAATTGTTGCCAAAATGGGGTTTATGTAATAAAATACATGGGCTAACTAACCTATAACGTGCGAGTTGGTCAGAGTGGTCTTTTGAGAAAAAATATTTTTGAAGTTCATTGAATTACCACTTTAGGTTTTAATTGTGACGCATTTAAAAGAAAGGGGGATCAACTGAAATGTACAAATTAATGTTTGAATGCTGAAACAATTTAAATCGTGGTATTGATCAAGCCGTGCGAAAAAGAAGTCATTTCTCGAAGGCCGACGTGTGTAGGACAGAGGTCTTGGCGTTCAGGTAAGACCGACATAAATAAAACAGTTGCCTTTCGGTCTTCACATGTCAGGTCGGTGCCCACTTCACAGAAAAAAGTGTAGTAAATTTTCGTTTTATTGTGTTGGAAGAACCGCAGTCCATTATTCACGAATTTTGGAAGTGGAGTCCGCTGATGCGAGAAAAATGTGATAAACGACTGACGGGGGCCCCTCTCTGTCTCTCTTCTCGGTACTTATTATTTAAAGTATCGCGGAATATTCGAGGACGAGGAGAGCTGGCGTAGACGTGTGAAGTTGGGGCCCTTCTTCTTGGCGTATAATGGACGTTATCTCTCCGCGTTAAAATATGCGAAAGGTTTAATTAAATGCCGAGGATTTCGGTTTTATGTGTTTTGAAAATGATTTAATACTATGCGGTAAAAACTAGATTTCGATCTAATTAACATCGTGGACTTTCTTGATGCACTTAAATATGGTACCGTTAAAAGAAATACTCGAACATTTATAGTCATTCCTATGGTGTTGAATCTTTATTTTAGAATTGTCACGATTCATTTTTCAAATTGAAAAAGATATTGTAAAAATTCTAACAATATTAGTAACTATTTTCATGAGAACTGATACTTTTCTACAAGAATTAAAAGTAGGAGAATAGAATGGCAATAGGAGAATTTCAGCGAAAATAATGTATTTATACAGAAGAAGATTCAAGTAGTTTCAGTAAACGCACAGTACACAGGCCTTTGACGATGTTACAGATAATTTATTAAAAAAGCTATATTGTATTGGATTCAGATGCACACTATAGTATTAAGTCATATTTAATAGGTATAAGACAATATGTCCGGCTAGATGATGTAAAT